TCTGTACCTCGCATATAGAGATATCTGCTGCACCTACCTGTAGATTTCATTTGTTTTGGACGATTGTGATCTTCCATTTGTTTTAGTTCAATCCTTGTTATTTTATAAAACATGAATAAACAAAAATGCTGTTTTTTTATATTCTATAAAAGAACGAGGCAGCCATCCTTCGTTGTTTCCATGGAGTTGGGGTAAACCGCTGGCTGAAAAAAATCGAAAGCAGTCGTCGCATTTTGCACCTGCAGCTCTCTTGTTTTAACAGCTTGTTCTAGTTTCCCAAAATATTCGCTCGTGTTACCAGAACTTAATGAAAACATAAAAAATATTTTCCATTTCATTTAAGACTTCCTTTTCTTAGAACATTTCATCAAAAGACACCCACGAACTGCACGGAATGTTCCTACCACGCGCTGAGCCAGTCGCAGCGCGCTAGCGACACGTTTCACTGAGTGACGAGTTTTTCTTTCCATACACAGTTACAAATGTCCCCTAACTCTCTGTGAGCAATGGATCGAGAAATGTCTCCCTTTTCTAGCTTTCATATNAACGTGAAAAATATTTTCCATTTGATTTAAGACTTCCTTTTCTTAGACCGTTTCATCAAAAGACACCCACGAACTGCACGGAATTTTCCTACCACGCGCTGAGCGAGTCGCAGCGCGCTAACGAGACGTTTCACTGAGTGACGAGTTTTTCTTTCCATACAGAGTTACAAATGTCCCCTAACTCTCTGTGAGCAATGGATCGAGAAATGTCTCCCTTTTCTAGCTTTCATATTTCCTTACTAAACTGATGACGAAAGGAAATTACTGACCTTCATTGCTGAGCAGCTCAATAATGTTCAGTCAGATGTGGTCATGAATCAGCAGCATTCTAAACTGGCTTCCTACCGCTATACCTTTCGCCGCCCTTCTGAACTTCTGTACCGTCCGTATCACTTTGCCTGTTTCTGGCCAAAGGCTGATCGATGACAGCTGAGTTTCCGTACGGTCTCCTCGGCCATCGCCTTCAATCCTTGAAGATATCACCTCGGCGGTCGGTGGAAATTGTAGTTTTATTTTGTCAGCTTACAGACTAAATGACAAACAAGTAGATGACGCATGTTGGCGTGTTGTGTCTAGCTGTCAATTGTGTAAGGTTTTTATCTTCTAATTTCAAGATCGTCTGTTTCTCTGAGCTGTTATTAGTGAACACAGTGGACACGTGGCGTGCGGGTCAGCTGAATTAAACTAAACATCTCAAAACAATGCAATCATAGCGCACTGAAACGTTGATGTGGAAAGTTTAGTTTTGACAGGGCTTATTTCGTCATGTACACAGCTGTTTATATCAAAATGAAATTAAAACAGCATGTGGTTTTGTATTGTAGCCTTCGAAATAAGACCGATTTTC